TAGATATATATATTTACTACACGAACTAAGCAAAATAATGGATAAAAATGACACAGGACTCTACAGAGACGAGGGTCTCATAATCTTAAGAAACAAAACACAGACAAAACTCGAAAATCAATAATAGAGATTTTCAAAAATAACGGATTTGACATAGATGTTACTTTCTAGATGTTACTTTCAACCTAAGAAAAGGCACATATAAAACATACACCAAACCCAATGATAAACCACTCTATATACACACATCTTCCAACCACCCGCCTTCTATAATCAAACAGATACCAAAATCGATTAATCGCAGGCTTTCCGACAATTTTTGCAACAAAACCATATTTAACGAACCTAAGAAAGACTACGAAACAGCTCAAAATATTAGTGGATTCTGGGAAACTCTCACATATTCACTACAGAACACAGAATGGTCACCAGGAAGAGAAATATCATGTGCTTCAATCCACCCTACAGCAAAAACGTAAAAACAAACGTAGGTAACCATTAGATTTAATAAAACTATATATAATTAAGCAAAAACAAGTAAAATAAGTGACCTACGCAGATCCCCCATTCAAAACTTTTCTACGTTAATAAAACATAGATAACCGAAAAGAATATATAAATAAATATAAAATAAAAAAATGAAAAGAAAAACAAGTGAAATGAATTAACCCAAATAAATAAATAAACAAGCCACTCCCGCCAAAATAACCGCCAGAATTGATTACCCATAATACACCATTGGTCCATATATATAAATAATCGCGGAAAAATCCAACACTCGCGGCCTGAGGATTTCGTCCAGCATAAAACAGCCTATCGCCTCTGAGTGTTGACTTCAATGTTCAATTATATATATATTTTTACAAATGATCTAGGACAATTTTTCACTGCTGAATCTGAAAATGACACCCGTTTTTCTCAATCAGGTCATGTTTTTATGCTATGTTAAGTTTTTAAAAATGCAATCTTATGAATAAATCTAGTCGATTTTCGATAATAAAATGCAATCTTATAACTAAATCTAATCGATTTCGAATTTTGTGGCATTATCTACTGAATTGTGTTAATAATTCTCACACAAAATAAGTTTTTAAGAGAAAGCACTTGTTTTCTAACACAATTTATTGATTAAATATTAGAAACATCGATTATAATAAATTGAATGCCATACATTGATAAATGTAACTACATGTAACTGGGTGTTACATCATCATAGTTCAAAATTAAGAGGTTGAAATTCCATTTATTCAAACCCTTAAAATGAGCAGCAGCAGCGGTGTGTCTTTTTAAAGTACGACAGCTATCAGCCATTATGACTGCATCCCAGCGTAGCTGATACCAGGTCTCCATCTCCTTCATGTCCTGATGAAATCTCTCCCCCTGTTCATCCTAATTGATCCTGCATTCTCAGGAAACTGATCCATATGTGAGAATAAATAATGCATTTTGATGATCATGTTAGATCCGAGGTTTCTGAAAGCAGTCAGCATATTGATGACAAGTTCTGGGTGTTCCTAGCCTTGTGTTTTTTTCTTTCAATCTAGATGCCAACAGTTCGGCAAAGGACTTACAGAAGCTGAGATTGTGAATGAGATCATTTAGTTCTTTTTGGGGAAAAGGATGTGGAGCTTCATTGTCAAAAACCATTTATTTTTCTTCTTTCTCACTAATATCAGAAAGTTCTCCAAAGACAGGTATTGGAATTTCATCACAATGAGCTACATACAAGACGAAGTGCTGATTGAAGCTCAGGATACTTGAGGCGGCTCCGGTTCTTTCTATTCATCCGAATCTCATCAATAGCACAGAAGTAGCAGTCAATGCTATAGTTTGTTGTCTCGCCACAAACCATGGCAATTCCAAATTTCACGCATCTCTTCTTGCCCTTACTCCACTAATGCAGATACTTGGTACATGTCTTACATACCATGTGTGGTACCTAAGCTTCATCCTGGCCACCAAGCTACTGAGTTGTTTTTGATAGTATGTGTGGAAGTGAATGAGGTCTTGAATATCAGCAGTTAGAGTGAGATGCCCCTTAATAAAATCTGAGAGACTCTGTTGTTGAGGTCAATCATTGTGATTTTTATACAGTTATTCCTGAGAAATTGGCTCCTGAATTATTTTACTAGTTATTTCTAATTGACCCTAAAAAGTAACTTGGTATGCTTACTACTACGACCACACAATATTTTGGTGGTAGATCTAAATTATAATGACTAATAAAACAACGTTTCTGATTTATATTCTATGGTTTTGTATTGTACTTGGTTTTGTATTGGTTGCTTGTTATTGGTTTATAAATATATTGGACACACGTTTTAATATTTATGAAGCTATATTTGGCTGAAAATACTTCTGATGGGTTAATATTAATAAGTTTATAATTAACATAATAATAAGTCTTATTGTGTTTGGTTTGGTTTGTTTTGGTTTATTTTGTTTTACGGCATATCAACCACAATGGGTTATTTAATACCGACAACATTTTTAGGATAGATTGGTATGAATAGAATATGCATTCTTTGGTTTAGATTGGTTCCGTTTATTTTGTTTTACGGCATATCAATCTCAATGGGTTATTTAATGCCGACAGCATTTTTAGGATAGATTCGTATGAATAGAATATGTATTTTTTGGTTTAGATTGGTTTGGTTTATTTTGTTTTACGGCATATCGATCTCAATGGGTTATTTAATGCCGACAACATGTTTAGGATAGATTCATATGAATAGAATATGTATTCTTTAGTTTAGATTGGTTTGGTTTATTTTGTCCCACGGCACACCAACCCCAATGGGTTATTTAATGCCGACAAAATTCTTTATTGCTGGTAATATTTTGTTTTGTCAAAAATTTGTTTCTGTTAATATTTTTCCTTCAAAATTGTATTGCTGACAATAATTTTTCCAAATACGTATTGCTGGTAATAGTTAACTATTTGCCCATAGCTGGGACTTAACAGTTGCTACCACCCCGGATCAGGGTGAACCTGGGAACACCAGCAATTAAGAGGTGGTTCCATGCTCCTCAAAACCTCCTGATCAGAGGCCCTTGCTGCCGGATGTAGTTTATCGTCTTACCCAGGACGCGGATGTAGTTTAACGTCTTACCCAGGACGGAGTTTTATTGTGTGTAATATGTTGCATGTTTAGATATTTTAATAGAAACGACAACAAAAACAAACAAAAACGTAAAAAACAGCATGTAGCCATAGCTCAAAAAGTTGACCTGATTGAGCAAAAACAATGTGAGTTTTGAATCCAGCACATCAAAATTGTCCTAAATCAGCTAAAATATTTAGACAATAAATTTGGTATTGACCAGTGTTATTAATATATAATTTATAGCACTGTACTTCTATATCTAACACTATTTTATAAACATGTTCACTCAATGTGCGTTGACGAAATTCACTAATGCAAACAATTTTTATTAAGCTGGTTTCATCTGTCTTGAATAATTGTTGTTAAATCATCTTCTCAGTATAGAATTTGTTCACTTACCATTCTCTATTCCCATTATAAATTTTTAATCGGATTGAGATACGGAATGTTTGCTGTCCTTACTTTTTACCAATTCTGGTCTTCTTTGACTGTAAAGTTTCAATATCATGATCAGCGTTACCATTTTCAATCAACTTACTGCGAAAATTGTAAAACATTTCAATGTACACCTGCGCATCATTTTGGTATTGATTGCTATGGTTGTTCACATACCATACAAACCTGTACGCTCTGAGTGGATAACCCTTTACATATTTTAAGGAATTCATTATATATTTCATAGAAATGGTGCCAAATAAAGATTCCTACATTAATGGTTTCGCTAAGCAGATTTGCTTTCACTCACTGACTATCAATTTAATCAAATGATCCACACTACATTGTTGCTTCTGTCGAGACTACAGCTAACTTTTCTTTTCTTTTGTTTCAGTTTTAGTATTCGTATTTCTTTGTGAATCCTTTTTCGTTCGCACAGTTCTTCACAAATGTATTCCTATTTATTCTTATTTGCTTTTTCATATATGTTATGGTGAAACACACCTATTCAATAGTTAATAAACTCTTCCACCTATAATAAGGAGTAGTAAGAGAAACAAAAGTCGGTCGGTCAGTCAGTCAGTGAGTCGATGTCGGACGACAGTTAGTCGAATACGAAAGTATCAGCGACCACAACTAGATTACTCTGCGTAATACCTACTATATCAAGTTCCTAACATTTTGTACGTCGAGCCTATTTTAGGACCGATTTAGTACAAATACAAGCCTCCACTGCGAAATCACTCCACAACAATATATATGGAAGTCACAAACGGAAAATAACGGTATGGTAAATATGAATATCTGCAGAAAAGCTTCCAGTCCGACCTTTTTCCAAATGATTTAAACAGCATCAAATTATTTTTATGGAAGCAAAAGCAGTTTGGGAAAATTTAATCTTTCAGAAGTTAGATTCAAATAAAAGTACGTTCTTTTTTTTAAAGAAATATTTGTTAAATATTCCGACCAAGTACATCTATGCTGACGAACTGTTAACAGCATCTCCAATTTTTAAAAAAATATTAACGTTCACAATTTTCTTGCTTCCAAGCGCACTAATATTCCATAATTTTACTGTCTCTTTTAAAAGTCTAGCTATTCAACCTTCTTTCTATTTTTTGTTTTCAATTATACTCTATAGTCTTGTGACACAGCAATATTCACAATCTCCGCATTTTTTATTTCATTATTGATAATAAATGATTTAATCTGCTTTTTATGTCCTAGAGTTAGTGAGCTGTTTGAATTTTAAAATTGTTTTTATTCTCGAGAAAATTCTGGTTTGTGTATAGAAGATGGAGGTGCTGAAAAGTTTTAAAAATCCTTACCTTTAACTATTAGTCAGATTTTGAGAAGTGGTTTTTTTTTTAGCACCAATAATTGTTTTATCTGATTACATTACAGTTGCTTGCGCTGTTTTTAGTGGAACAGATGTGTTTATTTTTTCATTCTTTTGAGTCAACTTGCATTTTATGCATACTGCATTATTATCGCTGTCTTGTCTGTCACAACAGAGATTGAACTTATTCTCTTCTCTTATTCTCTTCATATTCTCAACTTATCTACTATTATTCTTATTTTATTCTTTTATTCTCTTCTTATTCTCTTCATATTCTTTTCATATTCTCTTCTTATCTACTATTATTCTCTTATTCTCCTCTTATTCTGTACTTATTTACTATTATCCTCTTTATTCTCTTCTTATTCTCTTCTTATCTACTATTATTCACTTATTTTTTTTTTATCTCTTTTTATTCTTTTATTCTCTTCTTATTCTTTCCTATTCTCTTCTTATCTACTATTATTCTTTTTTTATTCTTTTATTCTCTTCTTATTCTCTTCTTATTCTCTTCTTATCTACTATTATTAGTAATAATATGTTATTATAAGATCGCTTTAAAGTTTTCTTTATCTCTTGAAATATCCATTTAGTTGTTTTAATTCCCATTTCTAATTTTTCCTGGAGTTTTCCAGTCAAACATTCGTTGTTTTATTTGTTTTAAAGTTAATTTCCCCCCCTCAATTTTCAGTCCCTAAAACCATTTTATTACAGTGCCTAAAATTCTTCATGCTTATACATTTAACACGCATCATTCTTCGCAGAGAATCTATTAACTTTATCGCTTTAATCTATAACTTTAGCTTTTAAGCAAGAATATCATCTTCTTGTTCTTTGATCCAAATTTCTCAATTCTTTATGTTTCTGGTTTATATTTCTTCTTTAAGTATTGGTTATATTTTCATTATACACTTATTGGTTGTTAGTATTGTTGTTATGTAATATCATACCAGAACAATCTTTTGATCACATCATGCTTCAAATATCTGGCCCATTGACGGCCTTCTCAGTGTTGTAGTAGAAATTTTGTTACTTCTTCTTCGGACCATAAATTATTTGAAATTGTCAGTTTATTACGCATTAATTCCAGACCTGGCATGATTTCGGCAACAATCGTTACTTTTACATTATCCGTATTTCGAAGTTCGTAAGCAAGATTTCGTTATGTTGCGGTTCAAACAAGTTTCGTCTTAATATCGGAGCTGAGGAAACCCAAATATGCCCGACACATCAGGCGATTGCAAAATCACGTGATTGAGATCATGAATGAATTAAAAAAATAAAAATATTTTCAACGTGACTATTTTCCACAAACAGAAAACTTAATTCATTAATTTCCAAAAAGAAAATTGCCACAACATTTCCCTCCTCTCTCTCTCTCTCTCTCTCTCTATATATATATATATATATATATATATATATATATATATATACATCAAAGCAAGAATATAATATAAAAGGCGATCAAACATCTTTCAATAATTTTATTACATTGAAATTTGTAATCTCTACCTGGATTCTATCCTCAGGAAAGTGGATATATATATATATATTATTGACCATACCAATAAATTTTGGCCTTCCTGTTCTTTTCTCGTTATTACCTCTCTCTACCATGTTACCCAGTCTCAGACATATATTTTTTTTTTTTATTTTATTTTAGTTATTGTTTGTGATATATATATATATATATATATATATATATATATATATATATATATATTTTATTATATATATATATATATATATATATATATATATATATATGTATATATATATATGTATAGTGTTATATTTATGGAATAAAGTGCTCAATAACAGAGATAGAGCGTGTGTAAATATAAAAGTCAACGTTGAAGTCAACACTCCCGAGTGACGACAGTCTGTTTCATGCTGGACAGGTGGCTTGACGATTGCGTCTAGCATGAAACAGACTGTCGCCTCTAAAAATGCTGACTTCAATGAAACAGAACTGTCGCCTCTAAGTGTTGACTTCAATGTTCACGTTTATATATATATATATATATATAAAGTGAAGTCAACATAGAACATAGGGCAGTCTATTCATGCAATCGTCAGGCATATAGCATGAAACAGACTGTCGCCTCTAAGTGTTGACTTCTATGTTCACTTTTATATTTACACACGCTCTATCTCTGATATTGAGCACTTTATCCCATAAATATAGCACACCTTAAGACTATATTTCTTTATATATATATATATATATATATATATATATATATATATATATAAAAAAGTCAACATTAGAGGCGACAGTCTGTTTTTCATGCTAGACGCAATCGTCAGGCCACCTGACGATTGACCTGACACTGCGTCTAGCATGAAACAGACTGTCGCCTCTAATTGCTGTTGACTTCAATGTTCATATTATATATATATATATATATATATATATATATATGTGTGTGTGTGTGTGTGTGTGTGTGTGTATATATATATATATGTGTGTGTGTGTGTGTGTATATATATATATGTGTGTGTGTGTGTGTGTGTGTATATATATATATATATGTGTGTGTGTGTGTGTGTGTGTGTGTGTGTATATATATATATATATGTGTGTGTGTGTGTGTGTGTGTGTGTGTGTGTATATATATATATATATATGTGTGTGTGTGTGTGTATATATATATATATATGTGTGTGTGTGTGTGTGTGTGTGTGTGTAATATCTTCGGTCTGGAAACGCAAACTGATGCAGCACTGCAGCATTGCATCCATTACCATTCGCGTGGCCGTATGTAAAAAATCTGCCTGATCATTACAATGATATGAATACATTGCCATGGTTAAACTCAGTTAACTCACAACTACACGCGTTAAACGTTGAAGACAGACTGGCCACAAATGTACACGAATGGTAAATGTTACCTTGTCAATATGACAACACAGTGACATCTACCGTAATCTTCCTTTAAATTTAAAAATTCCAAACCTGGAGACTTGGGAACATATGTTTATATGGACTTTTGCCCTTGTTTTGATGTTCGGAACCCCATCCAAATTTTGTAAATGTATTTTTGATACACCCTGGATAAATACGCATTCCTAAAATATATATATATTTAACTTGGATATATATGTATTTGTATAAGTGCATACTTTTGTTGTGTGTTAATATTTTTTAATATTTATTTGTAATTTCAAATATATGTAAATGTTATTTCATCAGTTTTTTTTTTATTTAATCCATTTTTGCAAATATATTTTTCATAAGTAAATGAATTTCCCCACTATGTTAATAGTAAGGCAATATTTTTTATTTAAAATAAGCAACGGTCAGTTTTCAATCCGTGCCTGACGATTGTCATGGGCATGACACTCGGAGTTGTATCAAACGGCGAGGAACAAAATATATATTTGTTGTTAATATAAATTTAAGCTCTATTTTTTTCATTGAGCATCGTCCTATTGCCAGTAGCAAGCTCATTGTATGCTATTGTACACACACACACACACACACACACACACGCGCGCGCGCGCGCGCACACACACACACATATATATATATAAATTTGCATTAATAAATATACATTTCTATTTATAATTTATTTTCGATTTCACTTTAGGAGTTTTATTATTGATAATAAAACTCCTAAGGTGAAATGGAAAATTTTAAAAAATTGCAACATGTAGATCCTTATATGAACCCTATTTTCTGTGTTTACATGAAAAATAGGAAAATATCAAGTTCTTTGGTAAGAATGCTTTATTAAAACAAAGATCCGAGTTAACAGTAAATTGTAAACACAGTCTACCCTTATGTTACATTTCAGTTAGACTTGGAATTTGACAATGCTTTTCTTGGATTTTAGTTGAACTGGTTGCACCATATATGGCTTATCTTTATTTTGGTAAGAATAATTATGATTTAATATAATTTTGTATTAATCTCCTGGTAGTGTTAGTAACATCTTGTACGTATATATTGGTATTTGGTTGGTATTTTGACTTTTTGCATTGTTATTGTTATTAATACCTTATATAAAGAATCTTTAGTCAACAGTTGCATATTAATTAACCAAGTAAATTCTATACGTTTAAATTATTCACTCTTTTCTTAAAGAAGCTATTTATTTATTAACTATAAAATGGGTTTTTATGTAGGAAAACTCGCAAAGCATATAACTTGTCTAGCATTTTTTATATATTACCACTTAATTTTTCTTAGGAAATGACACTGTCTAATCTACATTTATCCATTTGCATCTGCTCCCTGCATAAAGTCTGTTTCTGCCTTTGATTTCAAATTCACGAATCATGACCTATTTATTAAAAATAATTTAATTAGTTTAAATTTAAGGTAGGTCATTTTTGATTGGCTGATCTGAGTAACGCCCACAAACCTTATAACCACTCACCTCTTTTCTTTTTTTATCCATTTTTTTTTGTAAAAAGAGGCTGTATTTTACTTTTAAATCTGAATAAATCGTTTACCCGCCTGATGAGATGCGTTGATACGCATTGAAACACGACTGCAACTGTTTATTGTTTAAATATATATATATATATATATATATATATATATATGTGTGTGTGTGTGTGTGTGTGTGTGTGTGTGTGTGTACTTAAGCAGCAATCCTTCTTTCATGCACATTTCAGTGAAAACGACAGACAAGGTGCTTTTATTTAGTTTTTTATACATTTTCTCATGCGATCTAATATATTTTTTTCTTTTCAGGTGATAAATTATATAAAAACTGTCCGAATGTTCTTTTTATCCGAGCGCTTTCGGCTATACATTTAGCCATTTTCAAGGATTAAATATTTTAACTGTTAAATAAGAAATAGTTTGTTGTATGTATGTTTTATAAAATGCTTTCATTTTTCAAAACACGGTCAAGATATTGTGTCCATGTTCAAAGATAATGTTATTAAGTTTTTTTGTTGTTTTTAGCCTTTTTTTGCATGTAGATGATGCTATTATATTAGTGTTGTCAACAAGCATGTTACGAATAGTGTCCTGTAGGTCTCCATGAGTATTTAAATGAGATCTAATTGAGCTATGGTCAGAAAAGTGTAGAGTGAGTCTGCGTGTCAAACATGTTGTAGTGTGGCCTATATAATTATTTACAAATTAATGAATATTTAAATGAGATCTAATTGAGCTATGGTCAGAAAGATGTAGAGTGAGTCCTCGTTTCAAACATGCTGTAGTGTAGCCTATATAATTATTTCCGAATAGAAAAAAATATTAGATCGCATGAGAAATTGTATAAAAACTAAATAAAATCACCTCGTTTGTCATATTCAATATTCATATATATATATATATATATATATATATATATATATATATATATATATATATTTTTCGTTTATGAGCAATATTAATCTTCCTGAATCTTTGGTTCCATCTACAACATTGATGACGTGAGACTTTCAAACAGAGCTATGTAAACTGGGAAAGTTAAAAAAAATAATATACAAAACTATACCAGAACTAACTTATGACTCAACTTGAATGTTTGCGCTAAAGAGAGAAAAAAAAATTTACAGAGAAATT